CATATGTAAGAAAAAGAAACTGAAGAAGAGAGAGTTGAAGTAAGAACACTTACTTTAATGCAGTGGTCATTAGGATCATCATTTGGACTCAATGATCTTAATGGTCTTCTCCAACCTAAATTATTCTATGGTCATATCAAAATAAGTCATAGGAAAAGGTGAATGTCTCTTCATATTTGGGGAGGAAACACTACTATGCATTTGCCCTTGTTGCTTATCACTGAAACTAAGAATTTACTGATCTTTTTTTTCTGTATTTCTGTTTCCCCTACTACTTCAAAAGTTCTGTTGTTTGTCTAGAAAGTGAAAAACACCATGTTTTGCTCTAATGGACCAAAAGTGAGGGAAGCAGAATTCAAAATTAAGGAAATCTCTAGTGACTGTTGGGAACCTGTTCATATAGAGAGGTTTTCAGCTAGACAGGAGCAGATTCTTGTCCAAGAGGCTCAAGCCACTACTTTGAAGTTAAATTGACCCCTGGAATTCTGCCCTAGAGTCTTCTAGCGTGCCAGGCAGATCAGCAGCACTAGAGCAAGCTTATGATGCCTGTTAGCTCATCTGAGGTGTGGTGTTCATCAGTCCAAGGCAGCAAAGCTGTATTTCTAGTTTTGTTTGCTTTTCTTGGAGGGTGATTTGGGAGGTACACGTATCTTACACAGTCAAGCAATGGGTTACTGCCAGAAGGGACAGTTCCCCTGTTATTCTCCAACCTGGCTGATGTATTCCTGCCTTTTCCATGCCTCACGTGCAGTGATTGTGTGGCTGCAGGGTGATCCTGGCTAAGCTTGACGAGGGTACTTCTTCCTCTCTAGTCTATCCTCTGCACCCTATCATCACCTGACTTGGGACTTAGCTGTGACAGCACAGTGGCTTGATCTGATGCAAGAGAGACATTAGGAATGAGCACTGGGAAAGGGAAGGAAATGAAGGAATGAGACTGACTTTTTCAGTGGCAGCTTGCAATAGAATGAGATAATTACAATGTGGAACAATACTTTAAGTCCTGCTGGCTGCTATTAACGTATCACGGAGTATTGACACACTAGCAAGCCTGCCTCTCTAGTGATGATTTAGGGTGTACTGGCTCATCCACTGATCATCATTAACTGAGTCATTCTAATTCTGTCTCTTTCAGGCACCAAATTCAGTTGGCTGTAGCATACCAGGTAGTGGCTATGCAGTGGGTTTATGAGACAAAACTTTCTTATTTGGGACAGTATTGTAAGTGACAAGCGTAGCAATGTACAGGTGGTGTGCTATTGGGTCCAGAGATTCTGTATATTGTGTCTAAACTGTGACTTCCTTTACCAATTTATTTATAAGTTACATATACATTACCTCATGTATTCTTATTGATTATCTTCTGCCATGTTTTCTTAGCTAATTACTTTTTTCATGTGTTTAAGCTCCGGTAATTCAAATGAATAGTGTATCTGAATCTCTAGATGCTGTGTGTTAATGTCCTCCTGGTTTTGCTTTCTCGATATGCTATCATGGTGGTCCAGGGCAGACCTTTGTTACCTCTCTGGGCTAAAGGCACTTTGCTCATAAGAATGCTGTTTTGCAGTTTAAAGCAGTCATGTTTCTCAGTAATTTCACGTTAAAATAGTTTAAATTTGTAGGCCTTTGCTGCACTAAAGTACATGTGATTTGCAGATGTAAATTGGTTATTTAAGGCCTAAATAACTCTTATGTTTTCTGTTTAGCATCTATCACAGTATAACTTCCTCAGTTGAGCCCACATGGATTAATTAATAGCCAGCCAGTCCATACACGAAGACTGAAATTCCTTCTGCACTGGATAACTTGTTCAACTGATCTCAGTGGCCAGAAGTTATGGCAATGGACGACTTGTCTGTTGGAGATAGATATCTCTCCATCCTGGCTGTGCTGCTGACCATGCTCTGTCGGTAGCCTTCCGGGAGGTGAATTGAATCAGTGAGCTAGTCAGCTGTGTTACTGTTCAGAGACTGATCTTTAGGCCAAGACTCTTCAAGTACTTTTCTGTGCAGTCAG